TTGATAATTCTCCAATCTTCTTCTCCAATAACATCTGGTCTCTTTTCTTCAATGGCAAGATCTAGCCCTTGTTGAAAAAGGACATCTCGAACCTCGCCTTGCCACATCCCAAAATGCCCGGACCCGTCAAAAATTTCTACCGCAAATTTCGCATTTGACACAATTCTTGTCATAAGCGAAGATGNAGTATATCTTTTCACTCCAGCAATAGGTGTCATCCCTTGTCATAGTAAGCATTTTGGGCAAGAAATAGATTGCAAATCCCCATGTTGCATGGAAACTAGCTAAGGATAAGCAACACCATATCCCTGAATATAGCATCTTACATGCCTAAAATTAGCAAGTCAAATTTTTAGCAAGTTTCACCAACATCTTTTACCAACTTAAATACTATAGTAATAAATAGCCATGCAACCTCGGAAATTTTGATTTATTGATTTATCAAGAATTGAGATTCATAACTTACCACTTTAATTATACATATTACAACTACTTTTCACACACAACTTGAAAAAATTTCAGCTCAAGGCTCTCTTGACCTTTTTTGTTAGAAAAAATGCATTCTTTAAGCCAAGTGACTTTCAGCTGCATAGCTGCGACCACGCGAGCAGCGACAACCATGCCCACTCAACTAGATTAGATAATACATAGAGGATGGGCAACTCGCACACAGTACATGATAGCCCTCAGCCTATCACTGTAACCACCACCAGCTATGTTACTCAATCCTCCAAAAATATTGTCACACCCCTATTGGATCCAAAATGAACAACTTTTGGGGGATCTGATACACACCCGATGGCATTTTTGAAAGATACGAGCAACATGGCTTACCAGAGACTTAAAATGCAGACAGTCTGGGACCTTAACTAGACAAGCAAAACCTGAATTGTGCTATGGATTCTTGTCCCAGCTGTTCAAGAAAATCCCTGCCCTTCAACATTTAGTGCAGGACATATTAAAATTTTAAAGACCATTAATTGTTGTAGAGGCATAGGCACCATTAACACAATTCCTGCAATCCATTGTACAACAAGAATGCTTCTCGCTAACATACATTTCAAAGAGTATCAAACTTTTTAACTGTCGTGTCCTTCAACAAGTGATGGATAGCATATTACAAGATCAAGAATTTTTCCCGAGGCAATTTCAGAACATACATTACGAAAGCTAATTTACTTGAGAACTCTAGTTAGTCCAGAAGGAGAGAGTCATTTGTCCGCGCAAGTTTGGGGTAGAAGTTGCAGATTTACTAACTCATCATTGTTGCAACTATCGTCATCTCCTGGACCCTGTCATGTAATTATACATTCTTATGAGCCGAAACATACCTTTTTGGTTTAACTATTGAAACTTAAATGTACAGTCAACTTCACTTGGGTTGCTAATCACATGACAATTTGAAAAGTTGTTTACCCCAACCGTTTTCTCGATCAAAAAGATGTTGGTTACAACCTTCAGAATTGACGCCTGGGTGGCCGAGCTTCAGCAGGGCTTACACGGATGGCCCTTCCGTTAAGGTCCTACACCACAAAGTTCAACATGGAAAGGCAAACAAAGATCAATAAATAAGTAAAACAATATTGGCTCAAAACTCATTTTACTAGAAGGAATCAAAAAGAAAATTACAAAAAAGAATGTGAAACTCGTTCAATAATACAACAATGCAATATAAGAGAATCAGTTTTGATGGTAAATCACAGATCTACTAATTGAAGACAAGTCAAAGGGAAGTATCTAGAAAGACTGAAACCCCAAGTTTGATTGTTTTTTTGATAATCGTGGTGTCTGGGCCAGCTTGCGTGCAACTCGATTAATTCTATGGGATACCTGCTACCTCCCACCAACAATAGGTACCAGATAACTCTCTCCGCCAAGGCTTGGACAACAACAACAATAACATAACCAGTATATTCCCACCAAGGCTTAGACAATGGGAAAAAATCACCTAGTATTTTTGTCTCCGCTAGGATTTGAACATGAGACCTCAAGTTCTCAACCCATTTCATTGACCACTAGGAAACACCCTTGCGTGCGATCTACATCACTATTTAGAAGACATATTTGGCAGGTAAGACTGATCCAGAACGCAACATGTAGGCAAATACCTAATCGTTCTATATATCATATAGTTGAATGACAGATACCATCAATGTGGGAAAATTTAGTTATGACATACAAGTATATGTGAAACCTAAACCAGGACACAAAATCAACCCTGAACGGAAAATGCAACCGTGTGGAGACACATATACATACAGAACATAAAGATAGATGCATAATTCAGCTGAGTAAGAAAATACTTACAACTCCGTCCAAGCTTTCAATTGCATTGTTGACCTCCTCAGCGGAACTGTATGTTACGAATCCGAAGCCCCTTGATCTACCGCTATCCCTATCATAGACTACTTTGGCATCCACAACCTTACCTTGCTCACTGAATAAGGTCTCAAGTGCGTCTTGGTCAACACCCCATGCGAGGTTTCCTACATAGACTCTATTGGAGCTATCAA